GACCCCGCTTACACTGGGTTTGGTTTTCAAGTTAAGTTGAATTTGTATTTCTGAAGTTCTCCGTGCCATTAATAATAAGACTGGCTTCCAAATTTAAATCGGCAAATCCTTCAGAGATCAAACCTAGTTTTTTCTGATTTCAGAAAATGGGACTCAAAGTTTTCGTTGAATGGCCCACTTGTTTTAAGGTGCATTAACAGTTTCATCCGTTCTCATGCCTATTTTGATTTTTGACTCCAATTCTGCTTTTAAGATTTCAGTCATTAATAGCTATTTAACTTTAATAAAGCGTTCTTAAACTTTTTCATTCATGTTATGAGGATTGGTTTCTCAATAAAAATACACGCCCAAGAACCGCAATTAATGTTCTGGCTAATTATTAATCCAAAGATACATTTATTTATAAAAAAATTGGCATTAAAAGTTTGCAACAAGACCGACTTCTTGAAAAATAATGGCCGAAACCGTTATTTTTTTTGTTTATTTGTCAACAAATCCTATAATATGAACTTTATAAAAAAGTTGTTTGAACAAAAGATACAGATCCAGTTGAAATACACATTTTATGTTTTGTGACTTTTTTGCGTAAAGCTAATAGTTTACGAGAAAAATGCAGAAGACTGTTGCCCTTAAACCGAGCGCTCAATGAATTGGACAGTAAACACTTATCGGTATTCTACAAAACTATTGCTTAATTGTTGATCTCTAAGGTTTTCGCATATCTAATGCTTGCCGCCTGATAAAACTTTATGATTCTCAAACATAATATCAGTTTACAGTGTAAACTTTACAGTCAAATATTATCAAAATTTTGTTGCATATCAGATCCGGCTTCCATTGCCGCATAAAAATGCATTTAGCATAATGCGCTTTTATTTACACAGGGAATCCCAAAAGGCTAAATGCCGCATTTAAAATAAATGCGATAAATAAATGCTATTAAAAATCATTCGTCCCGAACAATTTTAGAAAAAAATACCGGAAAATACTGATTTTTAACTATATTTTTTTCGTGCCACCACTATAACAGCTGTTTTCTATATGCAAGGATGGCGCAATTTTTGTTATATTTTTAATATAATATCTATTTTGCGTAAAAATGAAAACAAGAGCAATCGCAGAAAATTCTGGTTGCAGTACCACAATGCGTTACTGCTGGATCTCTGGCAGGAAAAAACTGTCACAGCTAACTGACCTTAGCAAACCCGTCGAACAACACCATCCTTGTCGTCCAAGTGGCCAAATGCCTCGGTCGCATTATGGATGACCTGTTGGGCATTAAAGATATCCGTAAACTCGCTCATATTCATGATTTGTAATTCATTTTGTTTTGATTTACGACAATTCAAAAGAACACAAATCCAGATCAGCTGTTTGTACCTCTCACATGTCGGAGTAGCATTAGCTAAATGCTAATTGAATAAAGCACATTTAAAAAGTGCACTTATGCAGCAATGGAATCTGGCTATTATTTGTATTCAGTAGTATTTACAGATGTGGTGCAAAAAGGAAGGCAGGAGTGAAGGAAGAAATGAACGATGGGAATAAAGGATCCGCAGGCAAAAATTTGTCCTACTTATGTATATCGCATATCGATAATGTCACGAAACCGATAGAGTACCGATATCATGCAGGAAGGAAATAATGTATCGATAAGCGTTAATCAAGTTTGCTCATCCCCATCCAGGTTATGTTGCCAGATTCGGCGCTCGTTTCAAATGTCGGCTAAAAACCAAACTATTTTGGTCGATATCTCGTTAAATAATAACTTTTTCGAATACAGTCACAGCACATAAAATGGGTATTTCAATTATAACTTGAACTTTTGGTTGCATGAGTTTTTTGATAAGGGTCTCATTTTGCAAGATATGGTTGAAAAAACCAAAAATAAGGGTCTTACCACTATCTTTGACCTATTTATTCGAAATCAGAACCCCAAAATGCATGGATCCTGAAAATTTGAAAATAATCGGGCGTTGGGGCTTTTATGAAGTTCAGACAAAAATTGCAGTTTTCGTTGCTTAATAGCTTTTGAAACCATTTATGCAGAAAAATTGGTTATATACCAAAAGTTTAGGAATCTGAAGGGCTATAAACGTAAAAAATTAAACAAAAATGGACTCAAACAATTTTTAAAAATTGGCAAAAATGTAAAAAAAAATAATTAATATTTAGATATTTTAAAGAACACAGGAACCATACACTTCTGATAATATGCCTGTGAAGCGGATCTTTACGCATGAAAACCACCCGAAACATTCATCAAAGGTAGTAAGGCAGTGGTTGCAGAAATAAAATACTTCAAGTTATGAAATGGCCAGCGCAAGTCTAGCCTTTAATCCAATTAAGAATCTTTGGAATTAAGAATCTCAAAAAATTTGACGATTTGTGGGATGGAATTCAAGAAGCCTCGTACTCCATCCCAAAGGAACGTTGCCAAAAGCTGGTGGAGAGCATGATCCGCAAATGCTACGAAGATCTTAAAAATAATGGGTTCAGTTTGGTAAAGTTTATTGGAAATTGTGTTATTTGAATAGCCAAATTTATTTTTGTAACTGGTGAACAAAACAGATTTATCAATTTAGCCACTGTGGTTCGTTAAAAGTGAAATTTGATCGAACTGCAAAAAAAACTTGTTCACGCACTTTAAAAATAATTGTAGCAAAACTAGTTCTGATGCGTAGGCATACTAGCGACAGTTTTCACTCCGCCAGCCGTAAAAACAGGCTTTATATTGATTAAAAAAAAGGAATGAGAAGATTGATGCAATAGACAGGGCGAGAGCCAAGTTGGAACCTCAAACAAAGGTCTTCAGATATCGATTTTGAATAAAAGGAAGCAAATTTCGTTAAAAATAAGATTGTAATCGAAAAATGACAAGAACGACTACCTTTGAATTTTTTTCAAGCATGCTTAAAAACTGTAAGTCGATAAGACTTTTGGGAAAGTTTTTTCCGGATAGCTTTTAAGCTTGGTTGCGTAGAAACAGACGAACATAGCTAGATCAAAATACATATTACTTTTTGTACTAAAACAATGATATGTTTGTTTAACCCTCGTTAAAATAATATTTTATAAACTTGTTTTGAACCAACAAAGAAAACTTTTTGTTTAAGCCTCTCAAGTTTATTTTTATAAACTTGCAACTTGTTTAAGTCTTAAGAAATTTTTGAAGTTGGAAGTGGGATCGGCATTTTATTCATACCTCGTCAAGTATTAGTTTGAAACTTTAGTCTTATTACTGAAAAACTCCCAAGTTACAAAATAACCCTAAACCACGACCACGTCCTTGCATGACTTGCCTATTGAAAATATCAATGACAACGCATGAAAAATTGTACAGCACTGCTCCCATTGTATATAAGTCGGAACCAGCCTAATTTCAGAATTTCGGTTTAAATTTCATCAAAATCTATATCATATAGCTCCCATTAAAATAATAAAAAATTAAAAAAATTAATAAAACAAAAATGTAACTTCTCTTTAGATTTTTCGCTAAAATTTATCAAATCCTTGAGCAGTGATCCCCGAGGACTTTAAATTTTTTTTTTTCTTCACTGAAAAAAATTAATTCAATGATTTTAATTTTTCTACCCTAAATATAACTTAATTGTAATTCCTGGCTTCTGTGTTACAATTTTCGCAAAAATTTTTCATAATTTTTTGTACACTGACCCTAAAACAAATTTGATGTTTTTTTCTGGACTGAAAAAGAATATGTAATTTAATGATTTTTATTTTTAATATCTCAATATTGTTAACAGTGAAGTGCTTCGTAAATTAGATTTAATGATCAATACACTTGTTTAAAGCTTGCTTTAATACTGCTTCCTGACTAGAGGCCTAAAATTTTATTATTAACACCCGCAACGGTCATTTAAAACTGTGTTGTACAATTTTTATGCAATATCAGAACGGTGTGCTATAGTTTTTTCAATTGCCAAGTTAATGGTACGATTCATGGTTGTGGTTTTAAGGTACTCTTTCATTGTAACTAGGTTTTGGAGCTTTGCAGTAATAAGACTGTAGATTCAAACAAAAACTTCTGATATCAAAAAATAACACCTTCTTACAAGGTAAAATTAAATTGACAATCGCACCTTCAACGGTTTTTATTTATTTTTATATTTATATATATTTATTATACCAAAAAAATATTTTTTTTATTTAATTAGTTTTGTGTTGCTTTTGTTGACCTTGTATTTGTATACATAAATCAAAGTGAAAAACTCGAGGTCAGTGTTTGTTCCTAAATTTTTATAACACCACATTTTGATAACTTTCATCACACTGGCACTCCCTAAAGAGTGATTCCCGGACTCAGATAGGACTAAACAGTTTATTCTTTCTAGAGTGACCGAAGTTATCAGAGTTTACTGGAATTCGTGTGCTTCGGTCATACCGTCAATCAGTATGTATCAGTATCAAATGAATTTGGGAAAGCAAAATCGAAAATGTTGAATATAAACGACACCAAAGTTGAATTTGTCATTGGAATGATGGCAGATACGCGCCTTTTCGTGTTTTTGTCGTTTTTCCATCCAATTCGCTTGCAAGATCAAATCCAACAACAACAATCTTAAAACTCACTAGAATGAATAGAGTTTTTTAACAATTGAACACCATTAAACGTTAAAATTAGCGGGATAAACAAAAAAAAAAACAAAACAATAAAGTTTGAATTTAATGTCATACCCGCATAAATAAAAGGTGTCAATTGTGTCATCTGGCATTCGACCAACAGCTGGGCCCAACTGCTCGGCTGACAAAAACTGAATGCTATGTCACCAATATAAAATACAATCTGGGTATTCCCAAAACGTCTCAATTTCTAAATTTGCTAAAAATACTTGGTTGCTGAACTGCTGAAATAACCATTTCTAAGCAATAAAATTGTTGATACCGAGTCCAAACAATGTACAACAGAATATTTATAAACAAAGTGTTTGAGTGGCGTTGAGCAGCCTTCATTGCTTATCGATTTATCGATGTATCGATAGCCCAAACTGTCACCGCTATTCAGTGTACGTGGATTTTTAAGTCAACTCCACGGGCCCAAAACACGAAATAAAACAGACTCCCAATGAGAAGCGAACACTGAAGCGACGCAGAATTCCCCAGCAAGCGGTTCTCCCCAGCCAGTTGACAGTCGCAGTGTTCCAGCAGTTATTTGGGTCAATTAGATGTGCCTGTGCCGCAGCCAGAGCTGATAATCTCGAGTCCACCACACTCCCCTGCCCCTGCCCCTGTGACCGCGTCCGTGTCCGGTCGATTGCTATATATACAATATTGATAATGGCCCACACTCGCCGTCCCAGCGACGGCCTGCTGGCCCGTGTGAACTTCCCGCTGTACGCCGTGGACATGCTGACCAGTCGCCACATCCTTGTGGCCGGAGGCGGCGGCTCCAGTAAGACCGGAGTGGCGAACGGTTTTGTACGGGATGCGCGCAACTTGCTCATATCAATTTGCCTCACTCATATCCGTATCTTGATTGCAGGAGATCTACGAGCTGTACCACAACGGTAGCCACTTCTGCGCGGAGGAGGTGCTGCGCCACGAGACGGGCGCCAACGTGGTCATGAACTTCGCTGTGCGCAACGGAGGCCGGAGGGGCTACCTTTGTGCCGGCCAGGAGGCGCACTGCCAAATGTACTACGTCCAGCCGCGCGTTCAGTCCGAGGAGGACGGAAATGGAAACGGAAACGGGAACGATGAAGGAAAGCCAGCGCCGGCAGAGCGGCCCCATGAGAACGGCAACTTGCGGCAGCGCAACGCGCACTCGGGAGTGGAGCCGGTGGCCAACGGGCATAAGCCACCCCTGTCCGCCAACGAAATACTGCGTCAGTTTCAACGGCTGCACTTCGACATCCAGGCGGCGGATGTAGTGCAGACGGACTTTCTAAAGGGGGCCGAGCCTCTGCAGCGCGTGGTGCGCATTAGCGGCAACGGCAGGCTGATGGCCACTGGCGGCACGGACGGAAAGCTACGCGTCTGGACGTTCCCCCAGATGACCCTGGCAGGCGAACTGGCTGCGCACAGCAAGGAAATCGATGACCTAGACTTCAGCCCCGACAGCAAGTACATTGCCAGCATCTCCAAGGATGCTCAGGGCTTGGTGTGGGACCTGGGCAGCGGACAGCTGCAGCATAAGCTGCAGTGGAAAACGCCCGAGGGGGCCAAGTACCTGTTCAAGCGGTGCCGCTACGGAACGGTGGAGGCCCAAAAGGACCACTACCGACTCTTCACCATCGCCAATCCGCTGGGCAAGGTGGGGCGGCAGCGCGGATTCCTGCAGCACTGGGATTGTGCCAGCGGGCAACTGCGGCAGTCTGTTGCCATCGACGAGAGCCTTTCGTCGCTGGCGGTGCGAGACGACGGGCGGTTTGTTGCCGTCGGCACGATGTTTTCGGGAAGCGTTTCCATGTACATAGCATTCAGTCTGCAAGTAAGCATTCGTATCTCTTAGAGCGATCATCATCTGTGTACTTACTTTTGTTTGCGGTTTGCAGCGCGTGCTCCACATTCCCCATGCTCACTCTATGTTCGTGACGGGCCTTCAGTTCCTGCCTATCACCAACGAGGAGGGACCGCCCATATCCAGCGACTCGGAAGCAGCCGTTCTGTCCATTTCGGTGGACAACAAAGTCTGCATCCATAGTCTGCCCCAAAGGCGTAAGCAAGAATAAGGAAATCTTTTAAACAACTATATAATTTGTACCTTCTTCCAGGTACAATCCCCGCCTGGATTGCCATCGCCTTTTTGATCGTCATGATTTTCGCTGTGTTTGTGCTGTGCTCCTACATTGGCATATGATGGCCAGTGGTCGGAAAGGCGCTCAATCATTTTGCATTATTAGTTTTTAAACAGGGTTTAGTTTTTCAATAAGCCACAAGTCCCCTCAACACTCCTTTTCATCCCACCCGCCCTCACGTTAATTAATTTAAGTGTACAGTTTGTGCCGCATGCCTTATCTCTTAAACTAATTGCAATGTTTGCTTAGTTGTATTATTATTTACTTATCTCTGTGGCTCCCGTAAATGAAGCGATGCTCGTTGTACATGATTTTTAAAAAACTTTGTTATTTAATTAAATTACAAAAGGCAAAGAGGTTTATGAACTGCCGCAGTAGATTTAGCATTTAAACAAAATGTAAAATCAATTTTATAATTAAAATGTTAGATAATCGAACTGTGGTGGGTCTAACACACCGATCTTATAGTCACAAATGAATGATATATAAAGCCATTCAGCAAAGAAAATCATTTGAACTTAACTTTTTAATGAAATTATTACTTTCTTTATTACAGCTAAACCTTCTATTAGTATGTTGAGGTAAAATTTAAAGCATTTATAACCAGTGCACTTGGAAGAACTGAACTCTTAAACTCATCAACCGAATAAATTACCTTTGCCGCTTTAAATAAGATCCAGGATCTGAGTTCGAGTAATTAGATCAAAGCAAAGGACAAAACCGATTTCATGAAGAAAACGTTTCGTGAATGTTATTGATGGGTCGATATAAATATGCATCACAAACTATAATTTTTTTAAGAGAACGCAAAAAAAAAGAACAAATATTTTTATAAACTAATACAAAAATGCAAAAAGTTAGGTCTGCAAAAGTCATATACTGTCGGCATATAGCCACTTAAAAGAGTTAAAGCGCTGTTGCAAACGCTGATGATCTGCCTACGAGAAATGAAGAAACCTTAAAAAGAACCGAAAACAAAATTGAATTTTCACGCCAATAAAAATGGATGTCAACGCAAAACTAAATCCAATTTCAACATGACTTATCAACTACTGTTGGTCTATGATGGATGATATGGTGACCATCTGATTAATTATCCATTTATTTCTGCTGGATTTCCTTATAAATAGGTCTGTTGTACCAGGTCACAGGTCAAATGGGAGTCAATGGTCGTAACGGATTTCTTACGATAGTTCTGCTGAACGCGTTTTCTTGCAGAAAAGCCGCCTGTGTGAACAAGCTTTTAGAACGGGGCGAATACGCGATTGACTTGTAAAATATCGATAAGAGTTCGGAGTTTGCCAAGGCGGTTCTCCTAATAGAGCGCTCATTTTAAATGGCAACAGTTTTCTGAACTTTTTTATAAACGCTTCTTTGCGCGTTAAAGTCCTATCTCATAATATGAAAATTTTGATTAGATGTAAAACTCGTGTTTAAAAAATAAATAAATAAAATAAAATAAGTATATTTTAAAGCATAATGGCAAAAAAAACACCAAAATAACGGTATTCGAATGTATTTCCAAAAAAACCATCTTGTCGGAGCTCGTGACTTTTCCGAAGTTTGAGTTTGTGTATTAGAGGGTTAAATAATTTCAGTCAAAAGTTTGCAGCGCTGTGAAGGAGACATTTTTTGATCAGCATCATTAGCCAAATCCGTTTGTCCATCTGTCCGACCGTTTCTAAGCAAACATTCTCTTAGTTTTATATAAGCTGCAGTTTTCTGCAAGAAACTTTTCCAAAAGATAAAAGGTAGGGTATGCTTTTTGGTGATGTTCTGCTTTTATGTATCTTAATTCTTTTTTAAGTTGACTTTAAAAGTATAGGTTGAATTCTGAAACGCATTTAGAGGTGCAATCTGCTAATGAGTCTACGAATCCAAAGGTCCCTCGGTTCAAATCTTTCAGTTTATCGTATTTCCTTTCATTCTTATTTCAGATAGGGGTCTAGTCAGGGTAACTGTAGTTTAATTACAAATAAGGGGGAACTCTATAATCGAGTTCTTCGACTAAAAAATACTCGTTACTCAACTATCGCTATCTGCCGATTTGCATTGTCGACTCTACAAGATAAGATGGAGCAGCGTCCTTACGACCCACTAACAACGACCCTATCTAATGCAGAGCAGCGACAGAGCATGACACGAACAGTATAAAACCGCTTTTGGCACACACACATACTGACAAGTTTCCCCGTGCAAATTACTATGTCCGCTGCTCTTCATGCTCGAACTCCGTTTTTCAATTATTATTATCATATATATTTTCGTATTCTTAGCTATACAGCGGAATCCTAAGCTGACAAAACATAAGTTTGTTTGAAACTTTTACTCAAGATCACACAAATATTATGGAAAGGTACAATTGGCTGGTAGAAATTTCAAAAAGGTAGGATTAGACCGATACAACTAAACACTACCATGTCGTAGAAAGACATTTCAGACTTTCGAGAATTTTGGGCGTCATAACTTGAATCTGCATTCCCAATCTCTTGCTTTTAAAGTTTCAGAGATCTCAACGTTCATTGGGACACATAGACGAACATGGCTAGATCAACTCGGCTATTGTTTCTGAACATGAGTATATATATACATTAAGGGTTGGAAACGAATTTAATGTACCCTTTTTCTCTAAGAGTAACGGTCATGAAAATACAAATTGAATATACAAATTTTTAACCTCTCTGAAATCTCTTTTAACAAGGAAAGAAACATAATCAAATCTTCAATTCCAGAACGCAATCTGTGTGGATTTGTTCATCGTAACTCGGGCCATTATCAGAACCTATATCAACACCTTGGGCGCCATCGGCAACGCGAACTTTCTTGAGACTCAGGTATTGACACTGGGGATATGGCTTAATGAGCACGTTTATTCTGGCCACTGCGAATTGGGCAGCCCCTTGAACAGCACTTCCTAGGTGGAAATTATGGAGAGTTCGTTACAGAGGCAGTAGAACAGGCTGATCCCACGATTGCTATCCAAATGTATGGTTCGTTTTCTCACGTTTACGCCGGTCCCCCGATTAAGATGGATAAGATCCTTGAGATCCTTCGTGGAGGTCATGGGCTGTGATCAGACTTCGGGCGTTCTGCACAAGATTGGACATAGCAACAGGGAATATTTTCGTGAGCTAGTCGGGATATAAGGCGATCATCAGAGGCTGCGAAATCTCTTGTTGGCGCTCTCTCCATCTAGATCCATGATCGGCCAACTGCAGAAAAAACGTATGATTCATAATATCCTGATATTTCAATTGTTGCAGGATCTTAAGGTAGTCTTCATCCATCAGTTTGGCAAAATTGAAATGATCATGGATGCCCTGAGTGTGCCAGAAAAAGGAGAAGGGACTTCGTTGTAGGTGCGCCATAAACTTATATGTAAAGTCATAATAGACGAGCTGAAAGAGTCGGTGGCCCGAGCATCTAAGGCTATGATCTGTTTCAAAAGTTGTGTATAAATCGATTTCCACCATAACTAGGCGCAAAATGTAAGCAGTGGGCTGCTTTAATGGAATCTGATTGTGGTAGGAGTTACGACCAACTCGGTTGTAGCCCCAAAACTCGGTGTTGAGTAAATCAGATACTTTATGTAAGTGCCGTTAATAGTGCATGTGGGATATCATTCTTATCACCAAGGCCTAGAATCATGACTGGAAGTTGTTCGTTGTTTGTGGATCTTTGCGACGGCATTGAAGGTGGGGGCATGAAAAATATAACGTCACTAAACCTACCCAACACCTAAAAAGTATGTTCTGTTGTCCGACTCCCTTATTAAGGTACCTGGATCGGTCGTTTAGCATGAAAACTCCAAGGACTTCAACATACTTATTCAAAAATCATCATCACTTCACACGAAAGCTTGAGAGCAGTTGATGTTTCGAGATATTAAGGATTAAGAAATTTCTACCTCCAATAGTCTCGGCTATAAAGAACTGGAGCATCGGGCAGACAACTTGTCCGAGCGGTTTTATGAAGGAAAAAGCTTAATTCGATAGAGGCTTTATCGAACATATGTATTTTCCGAGTCGAGATACCCGTCACTCACCCAAAAAACCTTATACTAAGTGTTTCTCCTACAAATCAATCAAAGTTTAGGTGGGCCATCTGTCGAGCTGCATAGACAACACTATGTATACAGTTCTTTCGTTCAAGGACTTTAAAACCATATAACTTCTAAAATATTAGCTCGATTTAGAACATGTTGCTGTCTAGCGATAGATATGACCGAAACATACACAGAGAGTCCAACGCCTACAGTCTAACATGTCTCAGAGCGACGTGACGTTATGCGTTAGACGTTAGAGTGGGTGTGTCTCCGTTTTGAAATAAACTTGCGCTTTTTAGGAAAAACTAGAATCGGCATGCCAAATCCTAAATCTATAGCTTTTATAGTTTTACTCTACAAGTAACCGGTAAAGTTTCCCGACTGTTAGATATCCGTTACTCAGTTAACAAATTTAAAAACAAATATTCCCCAGAAAACAATCGGTTTTTGGGTGGCGCCATCTGCCGAACTGCAGTCTGGCACGGTTTGTAGGCGTTACAGTGGGTATGGAGTTAAATCCAAAAACTCTCGTTTTATGGTTTCCGTGAAGTCGACGATTATACGGATAAATGTTCTAACAATCTAAAAATAAATAATCTTATTTTACAGAGTAGATATTTTATATTAAAAAGAAAATGAAAACAATGTTAAAACTGAACATTTTTTAGCACTAAAAATAATTATCTGCACAACGGTCCTATTTTTGTCGCAACTGTATACTGAATAATGAAGTTAAATTAAAGAAGGGCAGTTTTAATATTTGCCTTCGAATCTTTCAGCCCAACTGTTATTTTTGATGAAGCGATTTTTTTAAAAGGTCTTGGATTGCAACATTTGTTCCCAGCAGTTTTTGATTTGGTAGACTCATAGTGACGTGACCCAGTTAATAAAATTAAAAATAAATAAATTCCAATGTTAGATACTGGTTTTAAGAAAATGCTTATAAAAATGTATTTTTATTATTATTGTTTATTGAATTTCTGATTTCATTTGCGATGTTTATTGCAATATTTGATTTTACAATTTAGTCCTAGATATTAACCCTGCGTTTATAAAAATTATTTTCTGGCGCACTTAATGTTATTTGCTATCTTTTTGTTTGAAAATACATAGACCTAATTATGCTGGCTTTCTTCATTTGTATCAGTTCAATGTTCTCCGTTTGTAAAATTAAAACTACCAATCCGCTTTTCATTACTTTCCTATGTAAAGACTATGTGCCGTTATATATAAAATATAAAATGCATATCAAATGATGGATATAAAATGTCTAAGATGGTGTTGACACTAATGGTGGAGGAGAAGGAAGAAGTTTGGCGAGCAGAATTCATTACAATAATAAATAGTTGTATGGGGGTATTCATAAATATTAAGTGCCAATGTGGCCTTTGCATACCGTTTTTATTATTTGTATAATCATGCACGTAACTTATTACTGCGTACGGTTTAGGGTTGGGTCTTGTTAAATGATCTTAGATATAGTTATTTTAGTTATGCTAATGCTTAATACGCATAATGCCAATTGTTGCAATTTGACTAAGTGACAACACAGGAAAACAAACTATATTTGCCAAAATAAAATGAAAATTCTACAATATTGGAAACCTTTTTTAAAAATCAAACATTTAACAAAAATCGGACCAAGACATCTTGAGTTCCAATAAAACGTAATAGGAAGTAATAGTAATTTTAAAACAAACTTTCTCTCTTTTTATAATACTTTTGGCATTCTCATTTTCTCTGCTCGAAAACGATCGCTCTGCTTTATCCCTCCTCGTTCTTCTGGGCCTAACCCCGAACTTCAGAGAAAAAACTTAAACTAATTTCAGTTAGAATTTGTTTGGACAGTCTTAATGCTGATTGGGGACACCCCTCGTACCCCTAAGAGGCCTTGGCGAACTGAATGACCGAGCTCATTCTCATCACCTTCGACCCGGCTCCTTCCCCGGCGCCAACGGAAGCGCTGGCACTGCCACTGCCGGAGGCAGGCCCATCTCCGCCAGCCCCCACGCCCTTTTCCGACTCGCCGTCCTCGCCCTTGTTCATGTAGTGTTTGCGCTTGCGCAGCGGCAGGGTCATCACGTTGCGGTCGGCCATCATCAGGGAGTCGCTCTCCGGCGAGGAGCTCCGCTCAGGGGACTCCGTGCTGGATCGCAGTCCGATGGCCGCCTCCACGCGTCGCACGATATCCGGATTGGGTAGAGCGGATCTGAGGGTAACAGAAATGGTGTTTAGTAAGCCAGCTAGCAGTTGGTTTTTACCCTAGCTCCAAATTCATTTTAAATTGTAGCTAATTTCTTTTAAAAAGTATTCTTTAAGGTTGACCCTCCAATTTTTTTTTAAATCTTTTAAGATCATTTCATAATTTAAGTACATTTTAGGCTCAATAGATGAAGCTAAGCTTGAAGATAATTTACTACAAATTGTTATAAGAAACAACTAAAAATCACATTTTTTTATGACTATCATTAGATTGAGGATCTTCAGCTTCAGGAATTTGTAGCTAATTTGTCAATGAGTCGAGGGGACATAATACTCACTCATATTTGGGGACTGGCGCATAGCCCTTGTGGAGCCCGTGACGAGCGAGATCGCCCCGCTTGAAGTGCTCGATCAGTACGGTGGCCTCGTGGGTGTCATCGTAGTTGGCCGCGAGATCACTGACATGCAGGGTGGGCACCTGTTGCTGGTGGGTCTGCGACTGCGTCTGCATCTGCGTCTGCGGCTCCGTGGGAGGCAAGGAGCCGTGACCACGGCGCAGCTGCATCATCTGCCAGGCGGCTGCGTGAACGTCCTCGTCCTGCACTTGGTCGTCGTTGTCGTGATGGCGACGCGCCATGTTGGCTGCCTCAAGCAGGGCGGGATTGATCGATGTCCCGGGTGCCTGGGGCTGCAGCTCCAGCAGACTTGGCGGGGCCTGGTAGTATCCAGCAGTCTGCCCTGACGCCGTGCCCTGACCCTGGCCCTGTTGCATGCTCAGGTCGGTGGGCAGCTCCTCGTCCGCAAAGCTGTGGGCGGCCTGGGCGCTGGACACCCCACTGTCGCGGCTCAAGGCATCCGTCTCCATCTGGGCGGGCAGGTAGTGGGCTGACGTGGGCGGCGGCGAGGCCAGGCTGGTGGCCGAGGGCGAGTACGTGGAGCTGAGCGAACTGGGCGAGAGTGGCGAGGAGGAGGAAGAGGCAAGGGAAAGGGCTGCTGGCCCTGCTTTGGGTCCGCGCGGCGGACGTGCCTGACGGGGCTTCTTTGTGACCGGCGGCGAGCTGGGTGGCGAGTGGTTGCTGCTCTCGGAGGTGCTGCCGACTCCCTGCATGGACGGCGAACCGGCAGAGGAGCCGGCGGATGCCAGGGCCGCCGCTGCCTCCGCCTCTGCCTCTGCCTCGTCGTCGGGCAGCTCGTTGGCATGGCCCTTGATGTGGGCCTCCATCTCCTTCTTGTTCTTGAAGGTCTCGTCGCAAATGGTGCACTTGTAGCACTTGGAGCCGTAGTGCTGCACGCGGTGCAGCTTCAGCACGTGGTTGTAGCCAAAGTCCCGGAAGCAGATGTCGCAGTGGTAGGGCTTCTCCCCCGTGTGCGTTCGCGAGTGCACCTTGAGCTGCTTGGAGCAGGTGAAGCCCTTGCCGCAGCCCGGCTCCGGGCACTTGTACGGCTTCTCGCCGGTGTGCGTGCGCATGTGGATCACCAGTTGGCCGGACTGGATGAACGTCTTCTCGCACACCGAACACTTGTGGGGCCGCTCGCCGGTGTGGATGCGCATGTGGCGGTGCAGCTTCCCGGAGTGCTCGAAGGCCCGTCCGCAGACGTCGCACTTGTACGGCCGCTCCTTGGTGTGGATGCGCCGGTGCACCTGCAAATTCTCCTTCACGCTGAACAGTTTGTGGCAGAACTCGCACTCAAATGGCCGTTCTCCAGTGTGGGTACGGTAGTGGCGGATCTGAAATGGGATGAGGCAATTGGTTTTAATTTATTCGTTTTTATTTATTTTAATTTATTGAAAACGATCAACCGGCAAGGACTAATGGCTATATTGACACAGTTAAAAATAACTTGATTCCCGTTGTTATGGTAATAATTAAAATCTTTACTATTCAATCAAACTAATCAAAAATAAGTGTTTCGAATTCAAAATAAATATAAATACAAAATAAATAAATAAAAAGGAAAAGAGTAGAAAATAGCACAAAAGTTTTTTTTTTTCAATTCTGCTGGTATATATAGTAGCCTCCTATGAACACTATACTGCCGCCCATAGCAACATATATTTTTATACCCTTGCAAAGGGTATTATTATTTTCAGAAGTTTGGAACGCAGTGAATCAAACATTTCCGACCCTATAATTTACATATATTCTTGATCACTAGGAGAGTCGATCTAGCCATGTCCGTCTGTCCGTCCGACTTTCCGTCCGTTTCTACGCAAACTAGTCTCTCAGTTTTAAAGCTATCTGCATGTAATTTTCCCAAAAGTTGTCTTTCTATTGCAGATAGTATATAAGTCGGAACGAGCCGGATCGACCGACTATAGCATATAGCTCTCATAGTAACAATAGGAAAAATAAATGAAAAAAATTATAATGTTTTTTTTTAAATTTTTTTTAGTAATTCGACATATAGTATTGGTATAAATTTCATAAATATCGGACAACTATAACATAAAGCTCCCATAGGAACAACAAAATTATTTATTTAACTTTTTTACTTTGTATTTTTTTTAGAGATTCAAATTAATAATTTGACAGTTTAGATTACCCTTTAATTTTATTAAAATCGGAAAACGATATCTTATAGCTGCCGTAGGAAATATCAAATAATTGAGCTTCAAATCATCATGTCTTCAATGTTTTTAAACATGTTCGCAAGTCAATCATAATTTTAAAGTTTTCAAGAATATTTAAATTTGCAATAACTGCAAGGGTATATGAACTTCGGCTTGCCGAAGTCTGCTTCCCTTCTTGTTTTATACATTTTAACAAATTTTATTTTGCATTCCCCAAATTCACTTTAGCCCTACGAGTACCGGGTATACAAATTATGTAAAATTCCTTCCTACTTTGATTTAGGGGTGGCTTAGGGCGGAACTCACCAGTCGGGCAGGAACGGCGAATGTCTTCTGGCACACGTTGCACTGGTAGGGATCGGCTCCGGCAGCCACGTTGGCCAGGGGCTTGATGGTCGGGCTCTTGGGTATGCCCACCGGAAGACCCTCATCATTCAGCTCGATGGCCGTCGATGAGGCGGTCCCAGCGGCTCCAGCGGCACCAGCTTCCACTCCGGCACTTAGCGAAGGGTCGGCGTTCTTGGCGTGCGACTTGGTGTGCGAGGTATGGGCCGACTTGCTGCCGAACGTCATGCCGCACTGATCGCACTTGAACTGCGGCTTGTTGGCGCTCGGCTTGCGCACCTGAACCTGGGACGCCACAGCTGCCGCCGCTGGGAACAGGCCGGATGGCTCTGTCTTGATGCGCTGCGCTGCTGGGGCAGCTCCAGTTGTCGGAGTCGTCGGAGTTGTCGTCGTAATACTTTCATGTTGCTTCTGCTTCTGGTGCTGCTGGATTGCCAGTTGGTAGCTGACGAACTGCTGCTGCTCCTGGTGATGCTGGTGATGCTGGTCCTGCAGCTGCAGCTGCAGTTGCCGCTGCTGAGGCGTCTGCAGCAGCTCGAACTGCTCCTGCTGACCGCCGGACGGAGGCACTCCGAGACTGAGAGCCACGCTCGCGGTCGTCGCCGTCAGCGGGGGCGGCACCTGAAGACAGAACTGCGCCTGACTAGTTTGTTCCGTTTTTATGAGCAGCTGGTTGGCGGAATAGTAAACCATGTTGGTTGTGGCTGAGTCTGCAACGGGGGGAGCGAAGGAAAAGGTTAACAATCGATTTTTGGCCAACTTATGTTGGGAATTACAAAAGTGTTTTATTTTTTTAGTTTAAATGGGCTTGGTACATAATTTAAGTTTACTCAGAGAACACCCAAAAAATAAAAAAGAGCACACATCTTAAAAACAATAAATAATAATGAAAATAATAATAATTTATTCTAGGCTCCCGGCTCATATTTTAATTCTCTTGGGAGTGTTTTTAAAATACTAACGACCGTTTAAATTTAACATAAGAAGTGTTTATAATATATTAATTTATAATTTTTATTTAATTCTATAAACGCTATAATAGAGTTCCCCGATGTTATAACAAAGCATAATTGGCACCAACTTCTAAAATAAAAGCTTGATTTTAATAAAAGTTGTGTCTACCGATAGACATGTGCGATACACACACACACTCAGTACTATAACTAAGATTTAACATGTCTTAGAGCGACATGACATGTGGGCGTTAGAATGGGCGTGGTCACGTTTTGAAATAAACTTTTAATGCGTAAGAATAACTAGAGTCTGCTTGTTAAATCCTAGTTTGTATGGACATGGCTATATCGACCTGGCTATTGATCCTGATCAAGAATGTATATACTATTTAAGGCAGGAAACCCTTCTATCTACCTGTTCGAATAACGGGTATAAAACACTAATGAATATACTTGTTTGAACCATATTGCTATCTATTGTTCTGAAAAGTATGATGACGAACGCGAATGCAGTCAAATCTAACAGATTTTCCCCCACAAGCCTGCGTAACATGTCGATCCTGAATCTGCGTCGCAGGAAAACGAAGAAAAACGCAAATACCCCCCAAAAAAAAGGAAAAGCCTCGGAAACGCAAAAAAAAAGGAATGGAGTCAAAGGGGGAAACCCACCCCTAAAGTTTCTTCTACGCATTTTTGTTATTGCCGGCCGGATTTTTCCAAAAGAGGAAAACGTACAAGCTTGTGGAAGAGAGGAAAAGTGTAAGCTAGAAGGGATGGCGCGGGAATTGGGAAAAATTTCATTGAGAATTTCATTGCAAATGTCCCATGTGGGATATTTGGGAGATACGATTATGAGTCCTACGGTTTCCAACCGGCGTTTTTTTCCTTCCCTTCCCTCAGCTCTCTCTCTCTCTTAATTTCTCTTGTTTACTAATACGATACTTTGAACCCCCACACCTTCCTACAAAACGAAAACTGCGTATACCAAAACAAAATGGCGTCGCAAGGAAACCTTTTGGTCTGGACTTTTTCGGTAAAACTTTTTGGCGACACTAGCGATTACCTTTCGCCGACGATTTCTTGATGGCGGCCTTTGTCTGAGTCTTGGATATATCCAGCAACTCAGTGCCCGATTTGTGGAGAACATCTTTAATCCAAATTTGTTTGGGTGCCCAAGTTTTTGTATCATTCTTGCTTTCGGTCATCTTGTTTAATGTTTTTTAATAATAATATTACTTTTTTATTGTTAAAGTTCAATCATTATATAGTAAATTGTTAGAGATCTTTTCGTTTGTAAATTGATTCATTGATTCGCGATGCAAAATCAGGTTTTAGCTGAAGATTTTATAGTTTAAGGTTATCAGTCCGTTGATTTTTCAGCAGTCTTTATATTATTTTGTATTCAGTTTTATCAGTGTTAAAAGCTAATCAGTTCAGTTATGACGTTTTCACACAAGAATTTTCATTTGACGAGTGATTTTTTCCTTTATTAGATTCTTTTTGATGATTTTGATTATTTTTTTCAAGTCCTTCGAGTGTTGTACCGGAGAGGTGTGTTGGTAAACTTGGATATTTTGCGGAGGCTGCTGCTGATGGCTACGGCATGGGTAATGACCGCCTTGGGCCGAGCCCTTATTCATGCGCATTTTTCGGAATGATCTCAAAATATCGTTCATTGAAAAGTCGGTCATTTTAGAGGTGTGGACCACACACATACGCAGCAAAACATACGCACAAACTCTAGTCAGAGTAGAATGCCAGCCGGAAAATGTTCACATCGCCGCTCACGAGGTTTTCGGTTCGATGGTGTAACGGAGACTGGTGGGCGAGTTGCCGAAAAATCTGCCTCAAACCTAAAAAAAAGACCTCGACACGGAAAAACCAACCACCAACAAGTCCCAAGTTCCATTTCATCTGAAATTTCCCTCAATTGGAAAATGTTTGAGTGAAATGTCGAGGGAAATTTCCGAGTTTATCTCTGTTTGAGTGCTTTACGATTTACAGATAAGGGGCTATTTTTAAGGTACTCCAAAATATCCCTGTGCTTAGGGAATGAGTCATAGAAAGTAAAGCCCATTCATATCTGAGCTATGAGTGGCATTTTAAAAACCAAATTACCTTAAATCAGTCTTAATAAACATATATTGATATTTTCGAGCTACATAACACTAAGTTAAGGAATATATTTCCGAGACACATCCAAAATTACAACAAAAAACTAGTAAGGATCTAGCTTCTTATTTTCGGGTGATGTTCGTTATCAAAGTAACAAAGTTCAACTTCATTGAAAAACAATATAACAAAAATAAAAATTTAGTTTTAATCAATTTAAGAATTACTTTTCAAAATTAAAATAAGTTTATAGTAGGCGGACAATCGACAATACATCTGAGGGATCCGGATCCCTCCCGCAGTCCATCTATAGAAAGCCAACGACCAGTTTCCACCTTCGACAACTAAATATTTATAAGAAACCTTCCAAAAACAGAATGAGTACGAGAAGCAAATGTTGAAACACAAAAGTTTTTGTAAAGGCAAGTTCAAAAAACTTTATCGGCTTTCGTTGTTGTTGTTGTTGCTGGTGTTTGTGTTTATTCGGCTGTGCGTTAAACTAGCGCAAAAGTTCATTAACATTCAACACGAAAACTATTTCTGAGTGAGTGTGGTTTGGTTGGAGAGACGACCATGATCACCGATCCCCCGTTTCGTGTGCTCGCGCTCTTTTGGGCTACCAGACCAAAAAGTTTCTGAAGGTACGAACGAAAAATGTTTCGGGGGAAAAATAGATTTATCTATTATGAGTTCAAATGAGTGCTTGTGTGCCATAAAGTGCCCCAGAATGAGAAAGAGTGGGGACAGCTGTCCCTTGACAAAGGTAAAGTGCCGTTATTTTGTTGGGATAGCTCTGAAACAAAGCGACTTGAAACTGGTTTTGTGGGGGAAAAGATTGTGTTTGGATAGATCAGTAAAGCTGATTGACGAGAAGAATTGTGACTGTATACCAACAAAGCTAAAAAAAAAGTTTGTTTTATACGTAATTGGTTAAATTAAACAATTTTTTTGAAGCAACTAATGATGCACAGGATTTTGATAAGGTACATTTAAAAATGTACCTCCAGACACTAAATCTGCATTCACCATTTCTCAGTCTTAGCACACACACAGATTTATTGAGTTGGGCAGTTTGGGTTCGGTGATAATTTTTGGTGTCTTCTTTGTCCACTTCTGGTGAGGTCAATGAACGTTTAGACATAAGCAAATTGTAAGCTTTTCTCTTTTTCTCTCTAGATTCTTCTGTCGCACGCCAATTTGTTTACTAACATATTTCTGGGTAATTTGTGCTTCCGTCTGGAGTATCCATTTCAAAAGTAACTGGAGGACTGCGATATAATTTTACCAGCTCTCCGTTTTCTAGTTAAAGTTCGATGAGCTCGCCTGATAAGATAAAGCGATATCATCGGCAACACTTACTGTTTTTGTATTCAGTTGAAACCTTTTCAATGAAATAGTATACACATGTACAGAAATACCCGACGAAAACTATTCAAATTGATAAGATACTTGAAGAAATAAAATTGCAACGGCAGAATAGCCGGAATACGAGCCAGAAGTGTAATTGGTTGTACATATGCAATTTCTAATAGAAATGGTAATAAATTTATAAAGAAAAGATTTTCAAAAACTCATTTTTAACATTAAGCTGGATCTTTTCAATTACTATATAAAGGTTCCCGAGGGAATAAATCCACGCCCTTAAAGTTACCAAAGTTCAATGTGGAAGTCATTTGACCACTAACATCCGAAATTCTAGTTTATAAAAATTGTTTTTCTTGATTTCAGAAAAGTTTATTTTATTTGTTGCCTAACAAATTATGGCAAAATGTCCTTAAATGAGAAGAAAATAATATAATAATAATATAAATAATATAAGCATTAGCTCGGCTAATTTCTACCTGAATTTCCGTAACATAGACAGTACAGAAACACAAATCGAACTTTTTAGGATTTTCTCGAACCGCTTCTACTTTTTCCATAGTTAAAGTCCCAAACATATCCAAATATCATGGAAAAGCACAAATGTTAAAGTTTTTAAAAAGGTAATCCTTAGTAAATACTTTTTATACGGGAATTGCGATATTCTTATATTTTGAAGAATATTTTATAAATTAAATCATTAGCATTTTAGGATTAGATTATTTTTCCCATTGCTATGTGGTATATAACATTTTTATAACATGTTTAATTTTAGATTTGGAGCAGTTGCTTAAAGAGTACTAATGAAAGATCCCATAAGAATACAACTAAAATATACATATGTATCACTGTTCTTGCGAATTAGAAGAGAGTTGAGGCTTGCTTTTTGCTCATAGGATAGAAGCTCATTTGAATACCGGGAGCAGTTACCAAAACAAAAGAGCAATAGCGCTATGGGGGCGAACAAGTAAAAATTATAAATGTTAGCATTGTTCTTTAGTGTTTTTTTTTTTAAATTGCGAAGGTCTAGACACGACGTCTGAGCTTACGCTGCGCTGCGCTGCCGCTGCTCTGCCGCTGCCGCAGTTCGCGATGTCGTCGAGCCACGCACATTTTGCGTGGGGCGCAGCGGTTGGCCTAGGTCAAAAAGCGACAGAGACACGCAGCAGCGAGTTACGGACGAGCGAGAACGCACACAGAGTAGGTGGTGCGGGGGCGGGTCGAAGATGGGTTATAATCGTTGAACTAGCAAATGTGGCGTAATACATACATATATCCAGTAT